CCATTTATCCATCCATCATCCATCCATCATCCATCCATCCATCCATCCATCATCTGTCCATCCATTTATCCATCCATCATCCATCCATCATCCATCCATCCATCCATCCATCATCTGTCCATCCATTTATCCATCCATCATCCATCCATCATCCATCCATCCATCCATCCTCCTATTATCTATCATCTGTCCATCCATTTATCCATCCATCCATTATCCAATCATCTTAGCATCCATCCATCATCCAATTCTCTATTATCTATCTATTTATCATCAAATCATTTACCATCCCATCCACCCATCCATCCATCCATCCATCCATCCATCCATCCATCCATCCATTATCCAATCATTTATTATCCATCCATCCATCTATACTCTTCCTCTTTTTCCATTCAGGTCTTGGGAGCAGCAGTTTGATCAGTCAAATGTCAGCAAGCGAATATATAAACCACTGATGTTTATTTGACCTTATATAGGCAGAGCTCCTGGTAGCTAGTTGTAGAACTAGCTAGCTTCTTCAGCTACTGTTGATGTACAACCCAAAAACTCTGTGTTAATAATGGTTTGGAAAAATGCATCTATATAAATCYTAAAAACAAAATACTGAGATTGGAGTTACTTTAATTTGGATCAGAATAGTTGTTAGCTCATCAAAATTATTCTAAAACTCCACAGCAAGATATCTAAACAATCTCTTTTGAAGTCTCACAAAAGCAAAGAGTCTGACTTTTTTTTCAAAGCTTCAGCTTTTTGCCATAAATGTTAAAGACTAAGATTTTTTTTTCAATCCACTSTGTTTAGGTCTATAGTTCAGAGTAAAATGAGAGGGAGGACGACGACTACAGGTAGAAGATAAAGATTGTTGTTTGTCCCAGGGGCCGTGGGGGTCCACATAACGATCAACAGAACAGAGACAGAACAACAAAGGTGGATTCTGTCTCAGAAATGTCCTAATGSTTTGTACCCTGGTGGAGGCTTTAGAGGCTGTTCTAGGGGGGCCGAATGAGGCAGAACGGCTCCTGTAGGGCAGCGACAGACAGCAGAACGACGYCGCTTGTGCTCTCAGGTACAGAAACAACAGGAGGATGGTTCTGGGGTTGAGAGCAAAAAGACTCAGTGTTGCAGCTTCTTCTGTTTTGTTTTTCAACCTGTAAACAGCTGCAGCGCCGCTGTCAGGATTCAACCACGTGTCTAAATAATTGGTCCTTTTTTATTTGACTGCGTAAAAGCAGAAGTTTCRACCCCATCCAGTGTGTTCCCCGCCTCTCACACTGCTGGAGGTGGGCACCAGCTCCCCTGAGACCCAGAGAGGACAGAAGTGGGCAAAAATAAATAAATAAATAAAACGGATGGATGAATGGATTAATGGATGGACATGCCATAGAGCTGGAACTCCCTCTACAGGTGACAGTTGTCAAGTGTTCACAGACTGTCAGCTCTTTGGATAACTAAATCCGACCTCATCTGCTTTCTTTTTTATTTATTTATTTATTTATTTATTTATTTATTTATTTATTTATTTATTTATTGTGAATTGAATGTCTCTAATTAATGATGGACAAATAATAATCGGGAAGCTTCTTGAAACAAAACCTGGATCAGGACTCTGTCGGAGCTACAAGAAGGAGAATTTCTTTGTTTTGTGGATTCATTTTAATGGTTCTGTCGTGTTTCGTTGCAATCAAACAATAACAAACATGGACCTACTTTGCTTTCTTGATAAAACAAAACAAACAAAAAGTATTACAGTTGATGCAGCTCGTTAGAAGAGAGCTGCACTTTTAACAGATCTGAATCAGGTGGGTGGAGGGAGAGCACATCTCTGAGTCTGTGGAGAGGAGCTTAAAGGAGGCTTACAGGTGGGCGAGAAACTAACTAGGTTTAATTTTCCAGGAGCAGAAAAAAGTCGAGTGGGCCGACTGCTGTGTGCTAACTGCTGCGTGGGCTGTCCCGGCTCTTCTTTCTGCCCAGTTCTGCCCACTCCTAAAGTTCTGTCGGCCACTTCGAGCTGCTTCAGTTGGGCCATCGCTCTTCTTCCCATCTGGCTGATGTCAGACCTGCGGGTTGCCTCCAGCTGGTGGTCCCGGTGGTGTCTGGAACAGGAGTGTTATGGATTAATTATGTATATCTGTTCTACCTTGACACTGTCCAGTAATCATTTCTTATTATAACCAGTTTCGGCTGTTTTACTCTATCAGCCCAGACTTCAAGACTCCAGCAATGCGTGACCTCTCTTATTTTCGATAAGGTAGCTCTTGGGCTGAGAGCCCTGTTATTGGTTAGGTGGGTACAGTTGTTGAATTGTGATTGGTTGTAAACTGTCACATGATGTTATCATGATGTTATATTCTTGGCTGCTTCCCGCTGACGAGTCAGTCACAACTCAGCAGACTTCCTGTTTGACCGTCTGCTGGGCTGTTGCTCAGAATTAAATCATTTGACGACCATACACGCAGACTTTCTGTGCATTTATTCCAACGTGTTTCTGCATTCTTGGTAAATCATGCCATGACAGGAGCAATGGAGAAATGAAAGCTGGGTGTCTTCAAAAATCTGAGTTTGACCTTAAAAAGTCTTAAAATACGCTCAGTGACAAATATGTTAAGCACTCAGAAGTACAGGTCGGATTTAGTCCATGTGAAGACCCTTGATGGTGGATGGCTTTGATTCACAAGGTACTGTGAGTCTAAGAAAGCCGTAGTGTTATCAGGAAGTTGCCAGAGAGTCCTAGAGTCAGTCAAAACATCCAAGACTGTGAGGTACAGCCTCAGTTCAGCTCTGGTTCTGATATAGAGGGCCTAAACACCACAAAGTCATATCAATGTCTTATCCCTCCTGAACAGACGAGGGTATTCTAATAATACCTAGAAAACAGATACTGGCCTCAAATACTCGTACTTGTACTCATGAAAACATAKTGATGTAAAGGATCGGGATTCTTTGGATCTAAAAATCCAGTCAACACACAGAATGGGGTGATTCACAGAACTTTTTTTAACAAAAGAAATACTCTCTTTGCTATTGGGACAGGATCTCAGGAACCCAACCTGTCGGCAGGGGTGAAGGGGTCAAACCCACAGGAGATTCTTAAGTGTGGTCCAAGAGACGGCCCTGAAATTAACGTGACATCCATGGGTGGACAGCTACAGAACTGGGAAGGCAGAGAGGAGTCAGAACCATTAAATTTGAGTCCATAAGAAAAAAKCATGCAGGGACAGGCAGAAGAGCAGAGGCTCAGGAGGCAGAAACAGGYTCGACATCACGATGACATGGCTTCAAGAAGTGCTAGATTTCATCTGCACAGAGCTTCAGATAATCTGACACCTGTGCTCAGATCCTGGAGAGCACAGGTTGACATGAGTGGACAGGTACAGGTGACTATGGTTAGGTGAGGAGTAGTCAGGGAGATGAAGTCCAGGTAAGACATGAAAACGATCCAAAAGATGAATGGTGACACCTGGGTGACATCATTTCTTCTGTTCCAAGAGACAGCAGTATTAGTACTAGGACAGTACTCACTAACTACTCTGTATCTGTAAGTACCCACACTAAGTATTTGCACTTCAACAACTAGTATTGGGACACCCCTAAACAAAGCAAGTTCATGAACCGACTCACATTTAGGTTGTCTCAGCAGACAGCTCTGACCCAGCTCCATCCAACCTGCTGCACATCCAGGACCACTCGGACCACCTGTGGGTCCACTCGCAGCAGGAGAGGACAGACTGTAGGAGTCTGAATCCAACGTTTCTGAAGTCCACCATGACTTCCCCTGCTGGTTTGTTCTGAGGCTCGTTTGGAGGGCGGACCTTCCTGCCACCTGCAGCTCAGTTCATGTGACGCCTTTGCTGGAGCCATGTTTGTAGATCTGCAGCTGCATCTTCTCAGCTCTGCAGTGGCATTAAACCGTCTTGGGAATGCACAGGTCAGCTCTTTAACTTACTGGATCCAGGTTTGAGGGGAACTAGAACTTACAACACAGACCAGCAAATTTGTTTTCTTTTCATTTCCATCAGCCTGTCTCGCTCTGTTTTCTGTCAGTGAGTGCATTTAAAACCTTTTAAATAACTTCTTAAATTACTGTTCTCAAAGCTACCATATTAATTACATAATAACTCCTAATTCCTTCTTTTAACTGAAATCTTTCAACATCCAGTTATTGTGAGTAAAGAAACGTCAAAACAAAAGATCTTTTATTCAAATATGTCGGAGCTTTTATCAGATGTCAGAGAGAGGAGAATAAAGCATATTTTTATGACTCTGGTTAATAATTGTAAACTGTGTGTTCCAGCAGGCAGGAAGCTGTTGTTGGAAGGAACTGCAGCTGCATGAAATGCTCATTTATTAACTTTATGTTTGGTTTATCTCGAGCGCTTCCCGTCTTTAAACGGCGGCCTTTTTGCAAAAACTGCAATATTTTTAGTCCAAATGTGGACATTTGTTCCTATTTATAGCCTGGGAGCTGCTTCCTTCACGTAAATATGAATTCATCAGACTGTGTTGGTCRCTGCTGAGTTTAGAGTGTGAGCGATGGGTTTCTTCCCCGCGTCGTGCTGATTGTGGAGCTGACCTGCCCGGAGCTCCTGCTGCGAGGCTGCTGTTGGAGGCCCGAGCTCGGACGCGATCGTCTCCGGTGAAAGCTGGACTCCCGGGCACCTGCGGAGGAGAAGAAACACGGGTCACCTGGAGGCCGGCGCAGAGGAGGCGCTTGGCGGCGTTCTTACGGGTTCTCTGCTGGAGGTGGAAGGTCGGCGAGAGGAGGCGGAGCCTCGAGTGGAAGCACGTCTGCGTTGTAACTGACAAACCTGCACAGAGGGGAGAAATCCCATTTTAAACAAGATAAAAGCTGGTTTTATTTATAATAAAATGACCAAACATCCCTGTTAGGGTTTGTTTTCGGAGGCAGTTAGAGAGTAAATATTTCTCTCTACTGGATAACAAGCTTTAGAATCCAAAAATCTGTCTCTGCATTTCCTGTTTTAAGTTTACCGAAGCGTGTTTTATGCAAAAAACAAACAAACTATGCTTCAGATCCACTCTGACAGACAGAAAGCAAATCTTTTGCCTCACCAGGCGTCTCGTTAAGCAACGCCAGGAAGGAAAGAGAAAACAGGTGAAGGGAGAGAAAACCATTTCTGAAAGCCCAAATTACTGGAGATTCTTCTCAACTTAAAAACAGCTTCACTTCTGGAGGAGAAACGCCTCGTTAGCTGCATTACTCACAAATCTAAACAAGAACTGAGCCGGTGATGTTATTTAAGATGATCTGTAATCGTATGTGTCCTGGAGGAGGAGAAGGAAAACATCTGCATAAATATCACTTCTTTACTGTCCTTTTAGGATAAAATGTAAATTAAAGCTGAACAAATCACATCTTAACGTGTTTACYGGCTTCATTTCTAAACCCTAACAGGAAATAAAGAACAGTAAAAAAATTCTAAAGATTGAGCAGCTTTACATGCAGAACACTGGATTATGTTAAACAAATCCAGGTCACGGGGGACACCTGGACAGGTCCATCACAGGAATACATGGGGACAAACAACCGTTCACCTGTTCACTCTTAACTGTGGGATGAAACCAGACTCCGCCCACAAAGGCAGGGAGCCTGGGACTTTCTGACCGCCACCTACGGAACGGCTTCGTCATTACAAATTTCCTACGAGACGAKTGAGACCAGTGTTTGCTGACAGAACGGACACAGAAGCTGGTAAACATGCTGCTGAGTCTAGAAGAATAAAACAGCTTGTAGGGAGGAGGAGGAATCAGATTTAAAATGCACCAATTACTGCTTTACTGTCTGATTCCAAAAACCAATTTTATGATCTGCTGATACAGACCTGAAGGTAACTGACAAGACGTATCTGATTTTGACCCTTTTCAACCTGCCGATGTCAACTTTGGCCGAATCAGATATTTTTTCAGTTCTGTTTGTCCAATATGGCTTTTGACTGATTCTGTATATATATATATATATATATATATACTGTATTAGGGGTGCAACAATACATGTACCCGTATCGAACAGTGCTGTATCGAACAACACAGATTTAAAAATTTACTTTATCAACTTGTCTTCTGAAGATGCTCTGTGTTAAAGGATCAGTGGATCTGTGTTCAACTAKTCCACCTAGGCTGCATTTTTGAGGGCAGATCCACTGAGAAACTTGTTGTTTCAGCAACATTTAATTTAAAAACTGTACTTTTGAGGTTAAACAAATGTTCATGATTAATATAAATAAATTACAAATTAAAAGGGCATGGAAATTTCTCCTTTTTGTATCGAAAAAATATCGAACCGTGAGACTGAAGTATCGAACCGAACCGTGAATTTCCTGTATCGTTGCACCCCTAATATATTTTTTCTTCTTTTTTTACAGCTCTGACCTGAGGTAATGATTTGGAGTTTGGTTGGGGTTTTTTCCCTTCACTTAATGAATTTTGTTGTAAATATGTTTAAAGTTTAACAAACGTTTACATATTTTAACATACTTTTTCCAACAAAAGACCAAGATCAAGTTTCCTTCTTACTCATCTCCTGCTTCCTCTGACTTTAYGCTCCTCAGGTTCAATACCAGCATTTTTACAAGTACTTGTACAAATGTCCGATACGCGGGACTGAAACCATACTAGTATCAATACTGCATTGAATATTTTACAGTTTACATTTCAATTGAAAAGTTTATTAGTTCCATGTTTAAAAAATGTATACAAGTTGAAATAAAATCTTGTTTTTTTATTGGTTGTAAAGGTTTCAGCAGTATACAGGTATATCATGCTGAATGTTTGATCTGACCCAGTCAGAGGAGCTGTAGGTCTATAAGGAAGGAGAGACACCTTGTTCTAAATTTAAAAAAGTGTTTTTAAAGTATTTGTGTAATGTTTAAGTTCTAACTCAGAAAGTACTCGGTATTGGTGAGTACCCAAACTGAAGTACTCATACTTGGTTTGAGAAAAACAGGTCCTGGGACACCCCTACTTCTTCACTAAGTATTTATTATATACTTTTTTCTAAGAGTGAATCACTTCACTTTAGTGTGTTCACTGACTGAAGACATCAAATTCAGCTGGTCAAGGTTAAAACTGTCTGATCTCAGCCACTGGCCCACTCATCAGTGCATTCTTTTTTTTTTTTTTTTTTGATCAAAGTTTTTTTTATTTTTTTAACACTAACTACAGAAAAAAAACTAACAAGAACAAATTCTTAGTTTTTATTTGATGATTTTTGTTTCTAGTTAGTTCCTCAGCCAGTCCTGCCACGCCCCCTCACACCTGTCTCCTCATTATCCTTCATCTATTTAGTCACTCTGTGTTGTTTTTGCCTTTTTTGCTGCTCATCTCCTCAACTTTTCCTGTGTTTATCCCCAGGATTTAGTCAGTTTGCTGCCTTTTGTTTTATCTAAAAATAAAAAAAACGTTTATTTTCTTGACGCCCCCCTTGTTTTGTCTGCATTCTGGGTCCAAACCACCATAAAAAGACTGTGACATGGAGGTCAGGGAAGAGAAATGTTGCGTCTTTCAAACAGAAGGTCACAAATTCCTCCAGAAGCTGGAGAGATCTGAAGACAATCCTTCATTTTTTTTTTTTTTGTGTAAACAACAGTCCTGCAGCTTCGAGTGGASTTTAGTGACATTTTGCTGAGCTCAAGCACGAGTTTTGTGGGAAATATGCTCAATTTAATAACATTTCCTCGCTTGTCATGATGGAATAAGAGGATGAACAAACTGTGCTGCAGTGGTCGATCCGGCTGCAGATGATGATGTATTTATGTCAGCAGGGAGGTGAAACAGCTCCTCACCCTGCGGCTCACATTCTGAAGCCGTTCTGTCGAGGTTCGGCTACCGCAGCACTCAAAGCGCACACAAACTTCTGACCTACCTGTGTGGAGCTGAGTCGCAGACGAGCCGCTCGGACTCACAAATTACAGAGCTGGAATCCAAACTCCATTTCGTGACCCCGCCGATCACTTCCTGTTGTCGGGGAAATGAAATGTCACAGTTGAACAATTTCAGGCATAAAAACCAGAGCTATTTTCTGTTTTCTTACCCACATTCAAGAAAAATACTCTTTTTGTCAGGCACTTTAGTCTCACAGAGAAATATGAGTTTGAATCTCATGAAAAACAACCATGGTCAAGTACTTTATTGGCTTGACTAAAAGCATTTCAGAGAGAAAAACAGCAAACCTTGAAAGAAAATTACCTTCTGATCAAGAAACAGCCCAGTGTGTGCGCTTTGTGTTGTGGGGCCATGTGTGTTGCTTTCAGGGACATCATACCTGCACCAGAAAAGAAGCAACGCAACAAATGTTTGGAGGTCAAAGAGGAGTAATGAAATAATGAGTGATGTTACCTGGACACAGGGTTGAACTCCAAGTTGCTCTTCAGATATTTAGGTTTTGGTTTGTAGGTTTTAAGGCCTGGTGTCGGGTTCTAAAGCAGAACATAAATACAGAAATTGCATGCTTATTGCTGAAGCTTTCTTGAAATATTTCACTTGCAGAAAAAAAGCAGGAATAACCTGAAAAGATTGGAAAATCATGAAACGAGCACAAAACGCTGAAATCAACTGAATGAGCATAAGTTAGCAGAAGAAAGTTAAAATGCTTTCTGCTACTACCACACTAAATATGAGCTTAATATAAGTCTAATGCTGCATTCACACTAAACACGATTTGGGCATCAAAAACATGTCCAACGCTTCAAGTTGGACGCTTGTGCACTTTGAGGTCAGACGCTCGTCAAAATTGCTCTTGATGCGCATCAGGACCAGCTCTACACCCTCAGCAGGGTCCTGGAGGGTGCATGGGAGTTCGCCCAACCTGTCTACCTGTGTCTTGTGGACCTGGAGAAGGCGTTCGACCGTGTCCCAACGGGGGCGTTGTGGGGGGTTCTCCGGGAGTATTGGGTACCGGGCCACTTGATACAGGCTGTCAGGTCCTTGTACGACCGGTGTCAGAGTCTGGTTCGCATTGCCGGCAGTAAGTCGGGCTCGTTTCCGGTGAGAGTTGGACTCCGCCAAGGCTGCCCTTTGTCACCGATTCTGTTCATTACTTTCATGGACAGATCACTTTTTGCGGATGATGTGGTCCTGTTGGCTTCATCGGAACGAGATCTGCAGCTCTCGCTGGAGCGGTTCGCGGCCGAG